GTACATATTATCCATTTTCTCCCCTTCAATTCAAGAAGGTATTTCTTTGAAGAATTGGATATTTCTTTAATGTTTATTAATCATTGTTATAATATAATATTTATATATAATAATTGTAATTGCTTTCATGGTTCAATTTCTAATTATTAGTATTTTTAAAGCAGTGTGTAACATTTGTTATGTTTAATAATAAGTAATTTAAATGTTATTACTATTATATCTTTGTTGCCATTAATGTTTGTCAACTTATATAATGTGTATTTTGTTTGTTATAGTAGATAAGTACACATTATGTATAATATACAAGTTTTGTTTGTGCTTGTTATCTTTTATTAATTATTGTTTGTAATTATGAATGAATATTTTGTTTTTGTGTTGAAAACATATAGTTATTTGTTTGTTTCTATATAATATTCATTTAATAACATTATAATTATTATTTATGTAGTGCTTTTAGTAAATGTGCTGAGTTCTATTAAGTATGCTTGTATCTGTTATTACCTATTTTATATTATACTGTCTGAGATAATAGCTTAAACATTTTATTAATTTATTTAATCATATTATATTATGATTGTTTTCGATTGTAATTATTATAATAATGTGTTCATAATAATTATATTTGTATTATTCGTTGTAATAGCCTTATTAGCTTAATACTTTGCTCCTACAAGCTGTATTGTCACAATGTAAATTTAATAATTGTTTGTTAAGGTATATACACTGTACAGTTGATGTTACTGTTGCAACTTCGAAATTTATTATATAATCAGCTGCCATGATAACACGTTCTGCATAATTAAGTTGTATTGATGCATTGTTTTGAGTATATTAGAGATATAATTCTTTTGTTCATTGTTAGTATACATTTACACAATTGTATTAATGTGTAAAGTAGTATCATTTGTTTAATAATTATAATTTTGCACTTGTCTTGTGCTGTAATCAGTATTTATGCATTATAACATTATTCTTTTGTGTATAGTTAGTTTATACACTCTGTAGCATTGTTTTTTGGTTTGTAGTTATTCATTATACTTTGTATATCTGTACTTGTCTGTATATCTTAGATATGTGTATTATATTCAGTATCTGATAAGTAATTGCAATATCTGACATGTAACTGCTGAATCCAATATGTTACATATAATTGCTCAACCATGATATGTGTTAGTTATTATATTGTTCTGTATTCGTTCTGTTAGTTCTATCTGTATTATTATCATTATTATTGTTATTATAGTGTCTGCAATTGTATTATTGTCTATAATACATGTTAAATGTTTTATTTATTTGATTTAATATGCTGTTTAGCATATATGCACTTGTTTTGAGTATTAATTGTTTGGCTGTAATATTACTATATGTGTTATTATTCGATTTATGCTATAACATATGTGTGCTTGTTGACAGTGTCAATCATTTGTACTATTGTAATGTTAATAGCAGAAGAGTAGCATTTGCTTTATTAATCTTTTTAACGTTTGTCTGTAGTATGATCAGTTAATTTATTATAACATAATCTCTGTGATATTATAGAGTATTTTAGCATTTAATAATTGCAGTAAGTGATACTCATTGTGGTTTCAACATTGCCTGCATAAATTATGTTATTACTAGGCCAATGATCATAATCACTAAGATGACAATCATATAATGTCTGGGTCGTATGTAGTATGGTAGATTGTGTGTCTGCAGTGTATCAATTCACGTTTGGGATACTCAGACAGGTGAGTCGAGTTCTGCATTGTAGTATGCTGCATGTGTGCATGTGATGTGTAGAACTGTATAGAGCATAGATGTAGTAGAGTGTAGATAAAGCATAGGCAGGGAGCTTAAGGCTCATAACCTGTTAAGAAAGGGGAAAGAGGTTATGTGAGAGGCTTAGAGGGATCACACAAAAAGGGGGGATAGTGGACTCGGCTCACTCTCTTGCAGCTTGCTTCATTGTCTGTTGATTAGTTAGTCTATATATACTATGTAGGTATGTCTCAGATGTAGAATGTATGATGGAAGGTATTCCATCATCGTTCGTCATTGCTTGTAATGTAGTTTATATCATCTGAGACATACTCTCGTGTAGTCTCGTCTTAACACTTCTTAACCCTGTCTTTGATCTTGTCTAGCACTACGTTGTAGCGCTTATCAAACGTCGTGCGAACTTCTGAGATCCTTGCAGCTAAATGCACAGGATAACAAATCAATATTATATTGAGTGCAAATAGTAAGTACTTACTAGCAACATCAATATGGACGTGATCATCCAATTCTTCAACTAGATCAACAATGAAAGCGACTTTACAGTCCTGTATATCTGCCTTTTTACTACTGTATGTCAGCATTTGGTTTGTGAACTCAAAGGAGAAAGTGCTTACACGCCCGTTGATGTAGAATAGACGCGAAGTCCCTGGATGTTGAGACAAAGTATAACTTCTCGAGCGCATAAATTTTGGACATTCCCTGCATCGAAGTTCAGCTCTATCTCAACATCTTCTCCATCTAATTTCGATGAGACACGAGTCCTGGCAAAAAAGTTGTTTTCACGTCCATCCTCGGAGGAAGATCCATGCTTTCGTAGAAACTCTACTACCTTCTCCCACAAGTCACGGAAGCGGTTGTTGACATCGTCAACATCCACGCCAAATATTTCTTTAGCAATAGGGTCGCGTGAACCGACTACCGAGTAGTCAAGGGAGACCTGTTCTTGAGAAGCATCAAAATCCGGAAGCGAGTACAATACATGTCGGCCTGCACGTTTCAGTGCTGGTATGTAGAAACCCTGCAAGTAGTACTCTACGGGTTGAGTTGTTTTGCCTTTGAGGTTAACAGAGCATAACTCTGGCAAGAGAATTGCGGCTGTTTATGGATATTAAACATCAATATGTCCAGTGTTTTTTATTGCTTACAATTAAAGTCAAAAATATGCATTCCGACTGCATAGTTTGACCTGTTTCCAATAGATGGACTCGAAAACCTGTCGCATATGTGCTGTTCAAAAGATATGAGGAAAGTGAGAGTACATTTCTTGATCTCTATCGGTTTCCTAAGGAAGAATACAAGTAATAAGCCATTTGACTCAAGTAGTTGAGGGTTAAAGCGTACTGTTGTGGTGTACTGTTTTCAGTCAATGGTACAAGCCGCCCTTGTACAATATTTAGAAAGAAGATTGCCTTGTGGTTGCATATACATCACAAAATGTAAAATAATCTTGTATACCCTTCCAGAGATTAGCAGGTTACATAATAATCAGGCTGTTATGTAATTTTATACAAGTGATTATAAGGTGTTGTCAGACTTGCCAGTAACTTTTATTATGTCAGCAGTATGAGACAAGAAATATAATATTAATCAATAATTGGACACAATTGTAATGTTTTTCAAGAGTCATGAATGTATTACTTATATATTACAAACATTAACAATAAATACATTTGTCTGAGAAGTTTATTATATACAAACACAATACTTATACCTTTTTGTATACATATGTAAGCCTCACATATATATAATATTGTAATAGACAGTTTGAATATTCTTTAATTTACCATACAAAACATACTGAGACTGACATTTAATGGTAAGTTAGCTAGCATCCGGAAGTTCAAGAACAGCAGGACTGATATTAGAAATAGAAACATTTTACAAGTACAGACTTTGGTCCGCTACATTCAATATTACATGTACCTACATAACCTAATGAGAAAAGATAATAAAAGTGGCATAGGCGTTGCAAAAGATTAACAGCGGACTAGTAGGTGAGTAGGGATTTTGGAACAGAGCAATGCATATTCGGGATACGGTTAAAGAACAGTATGAAAGTTCTGATGTAGAAAGCAATGAGAGACTTAAAGTCCGGCATCGTCTCATGGTGCGGAAAGTTGGGCCACGAGCTAAGAAGACAGGTAAGAGCCTGGACGTTCTCCTCTGCAACAATCTCTTCCCAATATTCCTCGACGCGCCCTGACAGATCGGCGACAAAGCCAGCATATAGACTGTCAGCAGGCCGACCGTCCCTCCGGAATACGCAGCTGATCATCCTATCGCGATTTTGCTGTTCCTCCACGCTCATACCGTCTCGGGGGTGTATTTTGAAATCAAGAGCCCTGAACTCCAATCGCATCATATTTTCTGTTATCTCATATTGGACCTCCTGCCGAATCTCTTTGTGGTCTTCGATATCCTTCACTGTGACCAACCGGCCACGCCATTCCTGTGCTTCTTCAGGCTTGAAAGGTCCCTGAGCATGCTCTGCAGCCATCACAGCTTTGGCAGTTGCCTTTTCTGCAATACGGCGTCGCTTCGAATCAGTAAGGTTGATTGGGTCGAAGCGATGCGACATGTCTTTCTTTGCCTTTCCTACTTTCCCTCCAGAAGATGAGGCCTCCGATGGCAGGACGTTGTAGATGCCTTCGACAAAAGGTGACGTAATACCAGGTGGTAACGGGGTGGACTTGTAGTATTCGCCACGTACAATAGTTTTCCATTGCTGAACTCTGCGCCAATTTCGCCCATCGAGTGTCCCAGGTTCTTCCTGCATTTTTATAAGGGCTTTCCGTATGCGTATGTAGTTCAGGTATGATCTAGCTGTTTGTGTAGAATCGGAAGAATGAACCAAGAGGTATGGAGGAGGGTACGGGTATAGCGCTGGCGATGAGAAGTTCCTTTCAAGGTTTCCAATGCTCATCAAGCATTCGCGAACCACCTTGTGGTGTTTAGGAAGATCAGCTTCTCCATCGTGTGATCTCGGGATGTGTAGAAAGAGCGCATAGTTGACACTCGGCTCTTTTCGATTTTTCGATTTGTCTGGCTTTTTCGCAGCAACACCCGACTTTGAAGACAATACGCGCGAGACAGAATTTGGTGTGTGCTGCTCGGTAGAATGTGCCTGTAAGGGTCCGGTTACCACAGTAGACAAAGCTCCAGGTGTTGGAACTTGAGAACCCATAGTGGCGACCTCAGAGGTGACAGTCCGGATATTGTAGATCTTGTCGAACAGCAGGTCAAACGACTCTCCTGTCATGAAATGGCCTGCCAGGCCATCGCGCAAGTCTGTACTGCGACCACAATCCAGTCCCTGCAAAATTACCTTCTTGCCATGGGTCATTAATTTCTTACCGAGATACTCTGACCACGGGACGTAATTCTGGACATTGAGTACCCGCCTTGTGTAGACCCTCGCATCGCAGATGTACCATACCGGTATACCAAGGCGGTGCAGTCTCTCAAGGTCTTCTACGTTGATAGCGAATGCCCCAATTACACCAAGGACCGGATTGGAGACCCTGCAACTAGCCATTCGCGGGACTACATATTGAAAATACGTGCACAGTCCCTGCAGCTCCATAATTCCACTTTGCACATCGCGAAATGCCAATAGTATTGCCCGCCAGCTGGTTTTGAGACAGCGAAGACGATCTAGGACTGTTTGACAGGTATGAAAGCAACGGTTGTAAACAAGGACGACGTCTCGATCCATTCCTCGTGTAAGTAGTTTCTTCCGCTTTTCTGTGCACTGATTTGCAACCCGAAGGAAGGACTGATTAAGCGTATCTATTAGCTCCTTGCGCAGCAAGCCGACCTCTGTTCCAGGGGACCAGTCATATGCTTGGGGATCGGGGATGAAGTCGGTTTCGACATCTGGGTCGTAAATATGAATGTGATCAATGTCACCTTGCTTACGAAGTGTTGTGTTGGTAATGCGCGAGTCCTCATCGAAAGGAATGCAACAGAGATGGAAGTGCTTCTGCGAATAGACTTGCGGCCAGCGATGGAAAGTTTGTCCCCCCAAATGTCCATCTTCACGTACAATGACTTGCCCATCTTCAATGAGTGGGAATTGGGGTACTCGATTCGCGTTAGGCGATACAATGATATAGTGGTCATAGCCCATTTTAGCACCCACACGTGCATCCAGAGGCATAGAACCTGCACATATATTTGTCAGAACAAGGGTGATGGATGGCTATGCATTGATGGACACAATAATACTTGCCAAATAGCTTGTTCTTATCTTCTGCCTTTTCCAGGGGCAGTTGCAATGTGTTCACATTCTCTCCTGTGGAATCTGCTGAAATTGGTGTAGAAGGGGCAGGGCCCAGAGATACAATCATAGTGCTAAGGTCAGCCTAGAGCAGGCAGTGGGTTGATTCTGCGACTGGGTCTTCTGTTTGAGGAGGATGCAGACCAAATATCAGAGCGTGCCGAGCGACTATAGTTGCTAAGCAAATAATATATATATATTGGTGAAGTGAAGCTCGAAGCTGCGCCTCACCTGCGATAGTAGAGTTGCGATGTCGTAAATCGAGGGTTAAGCGGTTGAAAAGTTCAATCTGTGTAGGCCCTGGAATGGTAACCATCCGAGCTTACCACGATCCATACCATGGTTTTTTCTTACCGTGGTAAAAATTCTCACGGTTACCGCGGTAATCCACGTTACCGTGCCAATCTTCGAGTACTTGACTGGGAGTGTAATAAAACATTTTTATATACTTGATTCTTACTAGTGAAACCACATATTTCACTCTACATATAAGTGTATACAGCTAATATGTATTATTAGATAATAAATAAAGTTGTTATCTTGGTATAAGTTATATAGTCTACAGTATTCACTCAGTATAATACAAGTGAACACCTCAGCATGTGACAAAAGAACAAATTTCACACAATGAAAGACAACAACCAAGTAGTATTGTATGTTCCACTCCCTATCAATAGAAGCACTTCTAGTATTACATCCTTCTAAATACTCAAAAAGTAATATATTACAAACTTTAGAGTTAAAGAAGTGTATATAGGAAGAATATGTTTTCTTACTCTTTCATTAGTGGATTCACAAAAAACTATAGTAACTGTGGAAATTTTTACTGTAGTACAGTTACTATAGGAACTTTATTACTATAGTATGAATCTACAGATAAGCCTATCCATTCTAGAGTCTAAATCTGTGTTTATAAGGTTAGGAAAATATAAACTTAACAACTCTTAACTTTTCACATTCAGACTCTGAATCCTACAGTCTAATTAAGGATGACCCTGACTAACCACTTATATAATACTAGCATATGGTGGCCCTTGTCATAAACATAGTGAGAAGTTAGGAGAGGGGTTTAGAGAGGCTCTACACCCCTAATTAGGTTTGGGATAAGTTTAGGCTGTTTGGTTTGAGTGTTAGGTTGGGTGTGAGTTAGGCTTAGGGAGGGGAACATATATTTATACTATAGGACAGGCATTTTTTTAACTTAGTAAAATGTGAGTAGAACTGTGAGTAGTCAGTTGAGACTAACCAAATTTGGGTTGTAGGACTTAGAGTCTGAATGTGAAAAGTATACAATTAAACTTAACTAACTTGTTACATTAGTTATAGTATAGTTACATACTCCTTTTAGAAGGACTTTATAGTAAAAATTTCTAGGTCAGAAAAAATTGACTTTGTTTTATTAGCTTTATGTTAGTAACAGTATAGAGGGGACCTGAAGGCTTAGTAAAAGGACCTAGACTATAACTATCCTACACAACAGAAATACAGAATGTAAGTACTAGAACATAGTTAGAACTTGTAGAACAGGTAGAGAGAGAGAGTAAAATAAGAGTAGAGTATATAGAGTAAGTCTAAGAGTACAGGACTATCTAGAGTAGATAAGATTAAAACTATAGAACTAGTCTGATCTTGTACACTTATATATACTAAACTATATAAGAGTACTCAGAGAGTATAAGCTACTAAGAATAATAAGTTACAAAGAATAAAAGAAAGGAATGTTAAAGATAAAGGTATAAAGAATAAAGGGATAGACAAAAGGTAAGAGACTATAGAATAAACAGAGAATGAAGGAGTAGTTAAAGGAATAGAATAATAAAGTAAGAAAGGGTAGTAGTAAGAGTTAGTATGTATATAGTTGTAAGGATAGGTATACTAGCCTTACATGAAGATTCTCTCTTTACCAGCACACTCAACTACTGACTGGGATAACCTAGTAATTGAGCACTGAGAAGGAGAAAGAATCCCCTAACCCTTAGCTTGAAAACCCTTTATATATGTGTATACACATGTAGTAGGATACAGGGTAGTCTAGTGAACAAAAAGGAAAACACCCACAAGCACCTACAACACATGTTGCACAAATGTGTAGGTAGTGCAATTGTTACACTCACCCTCCAGCATTTAGTCCTAAATGCTAAGAGAGTTAGTACTAGAATAAACAAAATAACAACACAAAAACAAAAGAAAATGTTAGTAACTTACTACAAAGTTCAGTACTGCTACACTAGGACATTCTCCACAGCCATGGATGTGTCTTCAATCAGTCCTGTAGTGGACTGAACGTGTTCCTGTCCAGCTTGGACATGTTCTGTAGTAGAACTGGTGGAACTTACAGCAGATTGGTCAGAATGGCCATCAGATTGAGTGGAAAGCAGTGGATTCAGTAGTAGAGTAATGCCTTGAGTGTTGAATGAGCTCAGAGCACTCATATTGAGTACCAAAGTAAGATTGGTAGACATTGAGGGCAATTGTGAATCGATCTGAGGACATTTACAGTTGTGTGAGTAGAATATAGTGGTTCCATTATTGATTTGCTCAGCTCTACACTTTGCACCTAAGTAAAATAGTAAGGTATATGTGCTCATAATAATATAATGCAGAATATATGCACATTTACCTTGGTTTGAAGCCATGTTCTTACAGTATACAAAGTCCTGGGACACTTGCATCATCTTAGCATGTTGAATACAGTCTTGGAACAGTGGTAGTAGGCTCAGTCTTGCATGAGAAGGAATGTAGAAGTTATACAAGTGTAATACAATGAGATAACACTCTAGGAGTTACATAGTAGGGTTGAGAGAATTGTTGTGGATAGCCCTAGAGAAAGCTGCAATCTCCTTGAGCTCCTCTCAATCGAAAACATAGTCAGTACTTGTACTGTGGTTGTGAGTAACCCAATCCTGAGTGATTGGTTACACTCAAGGGCCAACTAAGAGTTGTAGAGGAGGATGAGGCATATTTGTGTCTTGTAGAAAAGCAGATGCAAATGTATGAGTAATGGATTCTTGAGTAGTAGACATGATATACACAGTAAAGTGACTATATGTACAGTTTTTAAAGCCTTTGTGTATGTCTACCTGTATGTCCATGCTGTAGCATTGTGTTTAAAAGGTTGCCTCATGTTTTACTAGACTGATACTAACCTGAGGGTCATTAGTATCGAGTTTTCCCTTTCCTAGAGTTAGTGCATCAATAGAATTGATTCTAAGTATGTCTAAGTATTCCTTCAATGCCTCAAGGTGTGCAATTTTATCATAGAGTAGCCATGTGTGATCTCTGGACTTCCATAGTACTTTGAACAAAGTGGTAGTCCCTTGTCCTGCATGAGTTTCAATTGAATCTACTGTCCATTCCTTGTTCTCATTGTTTAATCCAGTAACTTGTCCTACTTCCCTTCCAGGGAATAATCTATCATTGTTTGGAACATGTATCCTAAGTAGCAATGAATGAAATACAGGGTGTATGTTACAATTCCTCATTTCCCTAGGTAGATCTAGTTCAAATGCCTTGTTTCCTGCATTCCAGATTATTTTGTAAGGTCCTATATACTTTGGTACTAGTTTCCTTGCTTACTGTCTCAGTAGATTCATGTTCTTTGTAGAAACATACACTAGATTGTTTAATTCAAAGGAAGAGGGTTGTCTGTATCTATTAGCATGTCTAGTTTGCTTTACCCTTGCCTGAAGGATTGTATTGTGTGCCTGTAGTATTGCATCCTTTACTTTCTGAGTGTAAGTCCTTACTCCAGGATATTCATCCTTCCTAGGGTTGTTCCATATCAAGTTCCTTGGTATCTGACCATAATTTAGAAAGAATGGTGCATATCCTGTAGTTTCTGACCTTGCTGTATTGATAGTGTACTTGATCATAGGTAGTTTATGTATCTAATCCTTTTGTTTAGGAGAAATACACTGTCTGAGCATCTGAGTAATTGTTCTGTTCATTCTCTCAGTTGATCCATTGGTCTGTGGATAATATGTGCTTGATAGCTTCAATTTAATACCTATAAGTTCATGTAATCTTCTCCAAAACGTACTGGTGAATAGGGAATCACAGTCACTAACAATGTAATTAGACAGTCCATACAGTTTATAAATGTTTTCAAATACTATCTCTACAATTTCTCTTGCTCTGTATGTTTGCCTAGTAGGAATAATGTGTACCATACTAGTTAATAAACAAATAACTGTACAAATCATATCAAAAGGTCCCAAACAGTTCTTCAATTTGGGAAAAGGTCCAACAAAGTCCATTCCTATGCCTTCCCAAGGCCTATTAGGTACTGAGAGCAGATGTAGTAAACCAAACAGTTTCTGATTGTTAGGTTTGCTGATCTTGTATGTATGACATGAATCACAGTAGGAATTAATGTCTATGATCATATCCTTCCACCAAACTTGTTCTCTAAGGTACGAAAGTGTCTTTTGCAGTCCTAGGTGTGCCAAAATAGAATGTGCATGCTCTATTACAATTTCCCTAGCATTTCTGTTGTGTATTAGAATTCTAGGTATGCAAAGTATGTATCTCTCACCCTCCTAGCAAAATATGAGTCCATTTTTGACATGAAAATTCTGGAAGTGCTTCGGATCTTGTAATATCTGATTGAAGAAGTTATCCTCATGATATCTGCCTTTGAGACATTCTGGGAATTGTAAATCTGGTGAAGATTGAGCTATTATATCAGGTAACTGTAGTTTAATTGAGTTCCAGAGTTGATCAGTAGTGTTCTTTGGTACTGGGACGTTCTGATCATTAATTTCCGATCTAATATCATTGTATGAATGTCTGTATCCTTGCATATTACTTCTGGTGTCTGGTACGTTCACAGGTGAATTTATTTCATGCAAATCCAATTGTTCAGTGTCCTGAGGTAGTGTTTCTAATACCTTACTGTGTGTATCTGTTTCCTGATCTTGCTCTGCATTCTCTGGTATTGTAAACCAGCTTCTAGTCCTTGTAGCAGGCCCACCCTCTGTTTGGAGGTCTGTCTGTGAGTTTCTAGCATGTCTGGTAATTAATCTAGCCTTTCTGCTACACAGTCAACTTGCAATTGTTCCTCAAGGTGAA